GAGCGGGGAAAGCGGCGGTGGCGTGGCGGTTTCGGCGGCGGTTGCCACCGCCGGCTGGAGGTGGAAGAAGGGGCCGACAGGTGGGCCCCACCTGTCGGTGACCCGGAGAGAGGAGGGAGGGATTGGGCCGGCCCAGGAAGGAGGAAGGGCGCGGGAGGAAGTGGGCCGACGGCCCAACAAGAGGAAAAAGAGAGGAAAAAGGAAGAAAAAGAAGAGAAAAGAAAAAAAAAAAGGATTTTCCAGGGATTATTTATTGTGGTTTAATGTTTTTAATTGGTTAAAATTATTTATTGAGCTCTGAAAAATTCCACTAAATCCTGTTAGCATATTTTGACATGTAGAATCCAAGAAAAATTCCACATGCCGATTCTGATTATTAGTTGCATTTATTAATTTAGGGATTCATCTCTAGGTTAATTTAAACAATTTCTTCGGACGATTTATTTAACAAATTTTAAAGCAAGGAGGGGAACTTCAGGGCGTGACACGGCCGGGGGGCCATGGCGGCGGCGAGGTTGGGGTCATCGACGGGGAGAGGCGAGGACGCGGTTAAGCATAAGCCCGGCGCCCTCGATGGTGCATGGAGAGGAAGCCGCTAGTGGCGGCGCCGGCGATGATAGAGTTCCACAGATCCTCCTTCTAGTGCATGAAAACCATGGTGCAGTTGAAGGCGGAGAAGAGGTCGCCCCACACCGCAAAGCTGTCACCCACCCGCCGCGTTCATCCGCACGGCCTGCGCGCCGCCAACGAAGCACTCGCTGTTGGGGGAGTTGTAGGTGCCCTTGAGAAAGTGGAAGAGGGAGCCCCTAACTGCGCCCATCCCGAACGCCCCGCCCACGTCGTCGGCTGCACGGGTCGGACCGGGCGCCGCATTAGAGGGGGTGGAGTGGGAGCGGCGGCGGGCCGGCTTGGAGACGGGGCAGGCGGTGGCACGGTCGTCGCCTGCACGCCGCCGTCACCGCTCTAGCCCTCGTCCGCGCGCCGCCGTCGCCACTCTGGCCCCTGGCCGCCTCCACCGCTGATCTGGAAGGGAAAGAGAGAATGGGGAGAAAAAAAGAGAAGGGAGAGAGAGGGAGGAGGAAGAAATGATGAAGGATGACATGTGGGCCCCACGTGTCAGTGGGTCCCACAATAATTTTGTGTTGAATGACATATGAGTCCCATATATATATTTTTTAACTCTAATGCCACGTAAGCGCCACGTGGCATGAAGACCGGGTTAGCACCACCACATCAGCGCCACGTCAGCAAAACCACCCTCCAATACCGCCGGAGAAGTCAAATTGCACTGGTTTCACTAATTCGGGGAGTCGTCTTACCCGGTTTTCTAGTTAAGGGTCACGAATTAGATCCGGTAAATAATTAAGGGAGTCTAAGTGGACTTTTTCCGAAGCATAATGGTGTAAAGGACTAAAGGTCACTCCCCATTGTGTCGTCCAAATAATGGAACCAAACCATGGGTGGACTGTGCACTAGCCGCGGGCCGGGCAGCTCAGTTCGACGGGTTTGAGAGCAGCGGCGATCAGTACCCTTAGCAAGTACTTCCTTCGTTTCAGATTGTAAGTCATTTTAGCATTTCCCACATTCATATTGATGTTCATGAATCTAGACATATATATCTATCTGGATTCATTAACATCAATATAAATATGAGAAATGTTAGAATGACTTACATTGTGAAATGGATGGAGTAGCAATAGCCACCCGCCCATCCATCTTTCGAGTTGTTGCACAGCCATGTTATATTCACGTGCTAGTGAGTAGGGGTGAATAACTGAATATTGTCACGAAAAGTTTCGATTGACCGACGCTTCGTTTCCATTTTTACCAACCGAGCAACGTGAAAATGGTTGCCGATAGAAACGAGAAGGGAAATGGTAAAAAATATGAAATTGGAATTTTCTTTTCATACCGACTGTTCTCGACTTTTACCACATTCTTATGGCAATAATTGTTTTTTATATTATGGTAATTAATATTTATAGTCTATTTCTTTATTTGATCCATAGTTTAGAGATCTATCAACTTCTCAGCTAAATCTCTAACTTTGGGTAAGGTTAAAAGAGACAAATTATAACTTAACGTAACTTTGAATTTATTTCATCATATTATATAGTGAAAAGTTAAATATACGATTTTACAGTTCAATATTTTTGATATTTATTATTGGCTTCCGATCAATACCGATATGTTTCCGTCTGTATGGTATGTTTCCAGTTTTCCGATATTTCTAATATCGTTTTCGCTTCTGACTTTACCATATTTGATTTTGTTTTTTTATAAAATACGATTATTAAAATGGTTGAGACCTTTTTCAACTATTTTCATCACTATAGTGAACGATCATTGATCAACTGAGTGTGACGACAAAGAAAAAAAAAACAGTTGAAAGAAGGAAGAGAAAAAGACCCGGTCCGTCCCCCATAGAAGGCAAAGCTACTGTTTGATTTCACAACACCAGTAGTAGACTAGTAGTGCTATTGCTTTGTGGTCTTCTTTTTTTTTCATTTTTAATTTTTTAAAAAATATTTACAGAAATATTATATCAACAAAAATATTTACAAAAATAGACCCTTCCGCCCTTCACTTGGGCGGCAAGCTAACGTGGTAGACTACTGGTGTTGCAAGGAGTGAAATGCAATTATTCAGTGCCAAAAAAAGTATTTGGCTAGTTTTTTTTTCATCTGTGGGCGGCAAGGGGCCGAGATAAAAAAAATACTAGCAAAATTGTATTGAAGCTCTGTTGATAACACTTAAAAAATTATTTATTGGTAAAACTTGTTAATAATATTTTAAAAATTGTATTGAAGTTGGTTGTTTTGCAATTTCATATTTTAAGTAAGAGTTTATGTTGTAACTTTTTCGTCGTATTAGTGTACGAAATTGATATTGGTCTATCGTAGTCTTGGTCATAGAAACATTATATACACAGAAACAAGGAGAATTATGTCATGTAAAGAAATAGTAGTAGAATTTAAACATGATACATCTGGTTCCACTGGGGCGCCAGGGTCAATTTTTATAAATTTTTTCACCGATATAATATTTATGTAAATATTAAAAATTTAAAAAATTCCAACTTCTTTGGTCCTTTTTCCGTGCCATGACTTGAGGCTCTGTTGGGTTGGCCTTTGGTCGAAAGGAAGACCAGGGCATGTTTCGTGCACTCTTTCAGTGTACGAGATACAGTAAAGGTATCAACAGTATCATTCTCCCAATCTCCCCTTGTTCGGTTCTGTGATGTCATATAATATGTTTCCTATATATCATTAGAACGAGAAAAACAAGATGATCTACGCGTCAATGTTTGGAGTCATTTCTGCCTGTCCGTACCGTTGATGTAGAACACGCAACAACAACAACAACAAAACAACAGCTGGTTAATTTTAATTTACATCGTGTGACATCGACAAATGGGCCGGTTATCTGAACTCTGATGAAGCGAGGAGGTGTGAACGGTGAACCGGACAGCCACGATCGATATATGAAAAAAAATGGTCGGATCGGATTGTGACGTGGTTGTAACGAAGCGAGCCCGCGTGCCGTGTGCTGCAACCGGCGCGCGCCCGCGCGTCGTTTTCGCTGGCCACGCGATACCCCCGGAGCTCACGCTGTACTACGTGCTTCCATGCTGGTGCAAGCCACTGCCTCAGCAACTACGAGCTCAAGGCAGTGGGCATATATATGGCCATCAAATTGCCTGATCGGCATTTCAACTTTCGGCGGCCCACCGCTCTGCTTGATAATGGCAGCCGCGGTGAGACCCGCTGATTTGCTTTGCTGTTCCCTCGTTATTTTATTACATCTAAATAGTTATAAATTTTTTAAAAGATTAAAAAGATATATTAACATGTGATATATCACTCCACAAACATGTAACTTAGAATTCAATTTATACATGTCTTAACGATAGTTAAGGTATGATTCTTGTAACATGTAGAAGTTGAATTTTAAGTTACATGTTTTTGGAGTATATCACATTATGCACTTCTCAAGTTTTTTTTTAAAAAAAATATTCAAAACTATTTGAGTGACATGCAAACAATAAGTGATATCTATCATAGTAGGGATAAAAAGGGTACGGAAACAATTCCGGATTCCGAGCCTGTTTTCGGAAACAGAATCAGCTAGTCGGAATTTCTCGAAAACGGAATCGAATTCGAAAATATTTTCTCGAAAACGGAATTGAATATGATAATAGCAGTTTCCGTTGGAGCTCGGAAACGATCAGAAACTTTCCGAATAGTTTGTTGGAATTTCCAAAATTACAAAGGCCAATAGAATACAATAGTCCATATTTCTTCTCCAGCCCAACCGAATTCGTGGTACCTACCAGACTACCCTAACCCTAGAGACTTAGAGAGAAGAGAGATATATGTACACTTAGAGGACGAGAGAGACCACGACTCTGCGAGTTGGGTGGCGGAGCGGCGCATCCAGATCTCACGTTGCCGTGTCTCCGCCGGGCTGCCATCTCGTGCCATCCCCACCACCTCTCGCCGTTTTTGCCTCCATGGTGTTTGGCTGTATTTATTTATCAAAAGTATTTATCTCTTAAACACGGATCATTTATTTTATAGATTTTGTTTTGTGATGTACTATTAAGTTTTAATAACTGGGCATGATATAACTGTGTTTTATGATAAATTATTCACTGTTGACACTTAAGGATTTGACTTTACAGTGTAAAGCTTAGTTTAAGGGGTTTTATTTATTCCGATAAATTTTCGTTACTGTATTCGCACCGGTTCATTTTCGCTCCGTTTTTAATTTCGATAATATTTGATTCTGTTTTCGTGTCCGGGGTTTTCGATTCTGAAAAAATAAATATGAAAACGAAAATAATAAAGATGGTTTCTGTCCGTTTCGTTTCCGTATCGTTTTCATCCCTACCCTCGGGGTTTAGAATAGAATAGTTTCCCGTCGCCCGTGCATCACTATATCGCACCTCGGTTTCACCCTCTCGCAGCAAACTTTGGAGTTTCTCATCATCTCATGGCGTCTATCAGGTAGGGACTACAGTCCATTCTTATCAGGTATCGCCATCTCGCGCTTGACGACCTGATCCAATCGTCCTCGGACCGTTCGATCGATGACCCTGGAAAAATCAAGGCCGTTCCGCGACCGATGCTCAAAGCCTCAAAGCCCCAAACCTGATTGCTCTTGTCTAAAATCTACCCCACCCGCCTTCTCTGACTTCCTGACGAGCAGCGTCCTCTTCTCCTCCCAGTCCCAGCTTCCCCTCTGAACACGAAAAAAAGAAGACTCCTTTTGGTCAATAAATCGAAATAACCTCGGAAAACCAGGGAATTTAACCGTGCCCACACCCATCTGTTCCCTTCCAGCATCCACAACCTCTTCAACCGCTTGCCTGCTCTTGTGAGGTAGCTAGGCAAAGATCAAGAGGCAGTAGAGGTGTGGAGGCCTTGGACAGTTGGATTCTTGGAGGGAAAAGAAGGAAGAACTTGCATACCAGTGGAATTCTTCAGGCTGGTCATGGAGATGCAGCTTTGGAGGAGATGGGTCGGCGTGGAGCTCAGGTACGTGCTATACTGCTATACTATGCGCTCTGCAATTTGTTCTATCTTATTCATATCTCCTTTAGTTCTCGAATTCGCTCTCAACCTTTGTATCTCATGGATTGGTTACTCTGTTCTTGTTACGATTTTCTGCATGCTAGCCTTTTCTCCATTTCTACTCTTTTTTTTCTAACGGCAATGTTAATCGTCCCCATTTGTTCTTGCGATTGATCATCAAACCGATCATCGCCTGAACAGAAGCAGCGCTTTCAGTAGTACGCGAGGCCTAGGCACGGCGGTGGTTTGATTTTGCAACCACTGTACTACTGCTACTATCTTTTAGTAGATAAAACCGTCATTTTGATTTGGTAACTGAAATCTGATCGTAACTGTTTCCAAACGAAACCTGTTTGGAACAGCGACCCCGTTAGCACTTAGCAGTGTTAGATTTTTCTTGGCATTCCGTGGAGCCGTGCTGAGTGCTTCCGCTGTTGGGTTCAGCTTTCCTCTTTTCCTTTGACGTTCTTTTCTCGCTACATTTTGTTTGGAGTCCTACACATCGTTGGCTCAGCACCATGTTGATAGTGACGCCCAATGTTTGTTAAACAAAGTACCAGTACTTGTAAATTCAGCCGCCCACCACAGGAGGGAAAAATCCTTGCATATGGTGACATTTGCTACAAGTAACATGGCTGACAACCCAAACCAAGTTGTGTTTAGCTTTTACTAGTTGGTAGTAGTAGTCTTTGTGCTTTCTTCTAGATGGTTCAGACTCTTCAGAGTTTTTTTTTTCTCTTTTTTGGAATCATAACCAAAAGAACATGCCTTGGATGCCTCTTGAATCTTGAATTCTTGATGAGTCGAGTAAACTAGAGGCTCCTATGTTTCCTGTAGCAGTAGCGTATTGTTCAGAACATTACTGCCACTACGCACTGTGATCTGCCCGGTTTCCACGTAGTATGTTTCGCCGTGGTCCTATGCAGAAATAAAATCCAATTTACTGAGGTGCACCCAACACAGTACCACTACCATCTCAGCAATCGAGAATCGTTTTGCATCATATCCGTTTCTAGATTGACCCACAATGATTTCTAGTCATGGTCCTTGCATCCACATTCCACAAAGGTGTTGCAGATGAAACATCTGGTTATCTCACGATCACAGACAAACCGCACAACCCTCTTCAATACATTGGAGCAATCAGTGGGGTCAACTTCTTCTCTTCCAATTACATGGATTACACGCACAAAACCGCGTATGCGCCCATTACGTTAAAAAAAACATGGACCAACGATAAATTTTATTTGAAAATACACCAACGTGTGGTAATATTCAGAAACACCAGAATTTAAACCCTATTAAGTGAAGTCATGCACCTATGGCTTAACTATCTCACCACATAGTTTTGTGCGATCAACTTTTGGTTCCTCTCGATATTTGTCTTAGAGTGAACTTAAAAAACAAAACTCGGTTTGTTTAGCATCCAAGATACAGAACTCCAAATTTTACAATTCACTCTATTATAATTTATTTTAATGAACCCCATATTTTAGAGCAAAATATTTTGCAAGACCAATACAAGCCTAGATGTTACATTTAACAAATATATTTGTGCATAATACTCGGAAAGAATAACATAAGAGTTATCAATAGCTCTGGATGAAATACCTAGACACTATAAACTAATATTTGAAACACCTTACTGGAGAAATGCCTGAATAGAAAACATGTTAAAATAAAGATATATGAATAGACACGCGTATGCAAAACATATTATTAAAGAAACGCAGGAAACTATATGAATGATTATTTGATGGTGTATAGAAAAAACATGGGAATGTTAAGTATTAAATCAACAGTAAATAAAATTTTGAGGGCTAATTCGAAATACAGGATAAAAACACACACATCAATAGAGGAAATGTAGGACTATGATAGGATCAACATGGAAACAAAGGAATTTTATAGGGCTGGTTGTTTGGAACAGAGGGTTGTCTTGAACATATGATTTAGCTTCTATCCTATGCTAGCTAGAGGTTGCGGTGAATTCATGCGTTTTCATGGTAATGCTATAATATCCCTCCATAATTCGTTTGAGCAATTCCTTCTACGTGAACAGTGGCAGATCCAAAGGATCATTAATCCCACAAAAATCATGTGAAAACCCTTCGTTCCAAAGGACCACCAGATGGTTTTAATCCATACAATCTAGGGTCAAGAAAAAGTAAAACATATCTTCCAATCGTGCTTCGTTTCTATCGTACGCATAGTAAAAAAAATAAGTTTAAGGTGGATGTTAATTTTCTTAGAATTCTATTTAAATCATGGTCACAAGAAATATTTCTATGTCTTTCCTATGAGTTTTTAATGGTTGAACTGTACTAGTTCCTATAGGATTCCTGTTCTTACTTTTTTCCCCTCCATTTTTCCAATCAATCAAAGAAGCCCTAAGTAAAAAAGAGAGAATTTGTGCCTTTCTGGTCATAGAATTACTACTCCTTTTAGATAATCAAATTTATTACACCTAGCCATTAAACAAGTAGGTCAACCATGTTTGACCTTGTGGCAGACGTAAGTACGAGTAGTACTCCCTCCACCTCTAAATATTTAACACTATTAATTTTTTAAAATATGTTTGTTGTTCGTCTTATTAAAAACTTTTGTGAAATATGTAAAACTATATGTATATATAAATACTTTAACAATGAATCAAATGATAGAAAAAAATAAAAATTACTTAAATTTTTTAAATAAGACGAACAGTTAAATATATTTTAAAAAAAAGTTAACGACGTAAAATTTTAGAGACGAAGGGAGTATTAATTAATCCTGTTTCAAAAGTCCGTCAAAGCAATGGTCAGTCAGAATAGACGAGCACAGATTTGGTCATTCTGGTTGTGCTGCACTGTGTTGACATTTTTTGCACTCTTCTGACTTCTCTACTGACCCGAAGAAACTGCCACGTATCCAAACTCTTTGCAGTTGCAGGCGCTAGTTCTTAGCGCGCGCAAACCACATGCTGTTCTGAAGTCTCCAAGCGCGCGCTGCTGTCTGGAACAAGAGCCGGGAGCAGATATGGTCCCGGACGGCGGCGAGGGGCATGAGATCGTCGAGGTCGCCGGCGAGCCCGGCGCGCCGTCGTCGACAATGCGGCTGATGGACTTCATACCCATCTACATCCCGACGGTGGAGACGGGCGCGCTGAGCCGGAGCGTGCGCAAGCGGCGGTTCTTGGACTTCCTCCGCGCCCACCCGTCCAGGGACTGGTTCCTCCGGTCAACCTTCGTCGGCCGCCTCCGCCACCGGGGCCAGGGCCAGGCGGCGTCGGGGGATGACGAGGAGGTGGACTCCGGCGGCGGTCGCCGGCGGCCGCGGAGGCGGTTCCGCGTGCCGTTCGTGAGGAAGATCAAGTGGGGGAAGCTGTGGAGCTACGCGGTGAGCTGGTGCAGGAAGCCCGAGAACTTCGCCATGATCATCTGGCTGGCGTTCGTCGCCGCCGGGCTGCTGATGCTGTTCATGCTCATGACCGGCATGCTCGACTCCGCCATCCCCGACGACGAGCAGCGGAAGAAGTGGACGGAGGTGATCAACCAGATCCTCAACGCGCTCTTCACCATCATGTGCCTGTACCAGCACCCCAAGATCTTCCACCACCTCGTGCTGCTCCTCCGGTGGCGCCCCGGCGCCGGCGCCGACCGCGAGGAGATCCGCAAGGTGTACTGCAAGGACGGCGCGCCGCGGCCGCACGACCGCGCGCACATGCTCGTCGTGGTGGTGCTGCTTCACGCCACCTGCTTGGCGCAGTACTTCTGCTGCGCTCTCTTCTGGAGCTACGCGCGCAAGGAACGGCCGGACTGGGCTCTCAACATCGGCTACGGCCTTGGCACCGGCTGCCCCGTCATCGCCGGCCTCTACGCGGCGTACGGCCCGCTGGGACGGAAGCAGCACGAGGATTCCGACGAGGAGTCAGCGGCGGCGCAGGCCGGCGGCGGAAACCGGCCGGCGGAGAACGACCGTGAGGTGGAGATCAAGATATACAACCGGCGCGTGGTGGTGAGCAGCCCGGAGTGGAGCGGCGGGCTGTTCGACTGCTGCGACGACGGGACGGTGTGCGCGCTGTCGGCGACGTGCACGTTCTGCGTGTTCGGGTGGAACATGGAGCGGCTCGGGTTCGGAAACATGTACGTGCACGCCTTCACCTTCATCCTGCTCTGCGTCGCGCCGTTCCTCATCTTCAGCGTGACGGCGCTCAACGTCCACGACGACGACATCCGCGACACCGTCGTCTCCGTGGGCGTGCTCCTGGGCCTCTGCGGCTTCCTCTACGGCGGCTTCTGGCGGACGCAGATGCGGAAGCGGTACAAGCTCCCGGCCTCCGGCTGCGGGTGCGGGTGCGAGTGCGGCGCCGGCGGACAGGGGCACGCGTGCCGCGCGGCGGTGAGCGACTGCGCCAAGTGGCTCTTCTGCTGGAGCTGCGCGCTGGCGCAGGAGGTGCGGACGGCCAACTTCTACGACGTGGAGGACGACCGGTTCGTGTTCCACGGCGCCCGCAACGAGGACGGGCGCGCCGTGCTGGTGCCGCTTCCGCGGGAGGCCTCCACCGCCACGGCGCACTCGCGGAGCATGTCGTGCCCGCCCAAGATCGACGCCGTGGCGGCGCTGAGCGGCGCGAGCCCGCTGGGCGTGCAGATGGCAGCCATCAACATGGAGAGGTCGGCCACGTACAGCGGCGAGCACCACCCCGCCGCCATGCGTCCGCCTGTGCCCCCGCTGATGCAAATGGACCAGGAATAGTGGCAGCGGCAGCAGCACGCGCGCCCTAGCTACACCGTGGCCATGTATACGGTAGTATTAATTCTATGATACGTACGGTAGTATTAATTCTATGATACGTATAAGGTCGTCGTCTACACGTACTGCAGGTTGTATTAGACTATTAGCTGGTTTTTATACATACGGATTCGTTTGTTTGATAGTAAAAGAGGACGGGTAATTTCGCTTGAAATTGAATTAGACACGGGGTGATCGAGGTTAGCAATGACATCCGTGACGGTACGGGAAGCCGGGAAGGATTGTTGTGATAACGGCTACTGGGCCATCACCATGGGCCTTTTAATCACTGTGACATGTCTGGATCTGTGTGGACACAAGGGCCGAATAGGAGTTGAGGCTCAGATTGGACCTATTTCGGCCTGACGCAGGGGCGGAGGTAGAGTATGGAGGGGTTCCAGAAATTTTTTTAAGCTATACTTCACATATTTTTATCATGTGTACACCTCTCTTATTGTAAACTTAGACACCCGCATCAACTTAAACTTGATTTAAAGTAAAGTAAATTAAGTAAGAGGCACCCTCCCTCATTTCGTTCTAGCTTCGCCCCTAGCCTAACGAGGAAAAACCAAAGGCCGAATCGAACCGAAATATCGGTAGTCGGTTCCTCCTTCGGTGGGGTTGGGGGGGTGTCTGAGGAAGGGGTGGACATAAAATCACCGAAAACCTTTTATTTTTCCTATATATCGGTCTTTGGCTTTTCCATCGGTTTCTCTTCTCTAACAACCAAAAAATTCGTACAAACCGATCAATTTCTATGATCCCATTCCCCTACGTGAAAAACACAATGTCCAGGCCTTTGACCAATGGAAAAAAAATCCATTAATACCATCCATCTCTCACTAACCCCTACAGCCCATAGCCTATGCAGCCCATCTGACTACCAACGTGGCCCAATATGTTGCTACGCTACTTGCAGGACTTCAGCCTACGGCATGGTAGAACAAGTACGCACTCCCTCCGTAATACAAAATAACAACCTAATACCGGATGAAATGTATTCTAATACTATAAATTTTGAACATGCCCCCTATCTACTCGTAGTACTAGGATACGTCCCATCCGGTATTAGGTTGTTATATTTTAGGATGGAGGGAGTACATTTTTTCAGCTTACTCAATAAACTGACAAACCGAACCGAGTAAGTTATGTTAATTTGGCTCAGTTTATGTTTTTGTTACAAACAATTCCGCTTGGTTTTGTTGAGAACCGAATTTTTAGAAAACCGAAGAAACCGAAGCCCACCCATAGTCTGAGTTCGCTGATTTTATCATTGATGAATTATACCGAAAGCACATAAACGGCATTTTGGATAATTTTTCAGCCTTTAACGGGACTGATTCCTTAATTCTAAGAGCAGATCCAATGTGAGGCCAATCAAGCATTTGCAAAAAAGAAAAGAAGATCAAACAGAGCACACCGTAAGAGTCGAATGATGTGTGCCAGACTGCCAGTGAAAAATCAACTTCAAAAATGAAGTTGAACACAAGCCAATATAAATATTCTCCATCCGGTTGTGCTGCAGCGGGAGGCAGACGTAGGGGGACCGTTATTTTCTTTACGTGCGTGAATCTCACAAATCGATCACTATGATGCAGAGATTGAGCCGAAATTGTGTTTTGCTTGCATGAATCGAACTCATCGCATGTCTCGCAGCAAAATTAGAGGTGCCCTAAGAGCCTAGTGTTTTTTTTTATTCTCACTTGAATCCAATAATATGAAAGCAACTAGGCAAATATGATGGCAATCTGAAAATTAGAGCATCCATTTATGAAAAAAAAATTATAATTTTCTTAAGAAAAACAAAATGGAGAAAATATGAAGTGTGATATTAAAAGAATGTTAGTGATATCAAAGATTGTGCATTGTTTTTCATCTTTCTGAGCTTATGTTAATGGGAGAGCACACTCGTTCGTGAGTGTACATGTGTAGCGTACAGAAAAAAAAATGAATCAATCCAAAATTTATGGAGAGTGGAAAGAGAAACCTGACAGTTTTTTTTTGTTTTCTTTAAAAAAGACAAGACAAAATCCATTAACAGCATAATTGGTGGGTTAAACTAATTTCGTGTTAAATTTCTTCCTCTTAAATAGGCTACTCCTTCCGGCCATAAATATTTTATGTTTAAGACTATACTTGTTTAAGCTTTTTAAAAAGTTAACCATCAATATTTTCTCAGTTACTTAATTTAAAAACAAAAGGAACAATATAGGTAAGATTCGCTTGTAAAATACTATCATAGTATCATAAGTTTATTAAAATTTATAAAGTTAATCTTATATATAGTGAATTGTTATAGTTTTAAAAAGTTTCTTCAATCCTTGTTCTAAGCACCAAATAATTTATAAGTGGAGGAAGTATATGGTGTGAACAGATTTTATCCATTCACAATATTGTTATATGGTTTAACAATGGCAATGCTATGCAACGTGCCAAAAATAATACAGCCACCATGTAAGTCCACATACTTCCGGCCTCTAGCTAGTACTACTAGTGCTACGAAGGAAAAGGCTAAACACACATCCACCGGGCGTGCAGAGATTTCACGTGTCTGGTACTCTGTTCGCTGCTTACACCGACGTCAACCGACCATCTGACCTATCAACCGCCATATTGTCAACAAAATGCTGAACTGAAAGCCTGAACTGACGGCCAATTTAACTGCTACAGGCTAAAACCGATGCAGACAAAACCGACCTAATTACAGCATTCAGCAACACGAAACAGACTGTGCCCATCTAGCAACCGACCTCTCTCTCAACCACACGCGCGCGCAAATGCACGCACGACAACGGGCTTGTTTGGTTTGGTGCCAAATTATGCCCTACCAATTCATTGGTAATTTTGAATAGTGCTTCTATATGTTTGGATTGGTGCCAAATTTTACCAACACCAGTTCTTAGATAGTACAAAATTTATCCACCCAAATTTGATAGTGCCAAAAGTTGCCTAAACTTTGATACTACCAAGATTTTGGTAGGACACCAAACCAAACTGGCCCAACATTTTCACCGAGCTAATGGAAAAAAAGAAGGATTTCTTCTGTGGTGACAAACGCCGCGACACCAATCATCAACCATGTGTCCATGTCTTGCTCTGTCGCAGTGCTGCTCGATCCAGACCTCCGGCGCAACGATCTTCAGAGAAAGTGGAGGTTGGTGCGAGCGACGCAGAGACGACGAACATAATGCATATATTTTTCTTCCTCGATATCGCGAACGTGGTGACGCCACTGGAAATTTGGAAAAACGGAAGTGGCCACCCACCACCCGCACGATCCAAGGTTAGCATCACCACACAAATTCATCAGCGATGGCGAGTAGCCCCCACCCCCAACGAGAGTTACTAGTAACAGTTCTTGACCTTAATTGGCTAATGGGATGCTTATGGGGCACTTTGGATACTCATCTCGGAGCTTTACCTAACAAGCGAAAGCGATGCGTGTGTAGAAATCTGGCTTGCATGTTACCAGCAGCCTCGATCGCGTACCTAATTACTTTTTCTCGATTAAGCTAGACTCCTCGTTTATTACTTGGCAGGCAATGAGGCAAGTGAGTAGGCGAGCTTTTTGACGAGGGGGAACAGGGGAGCTGATGTGACGAGGCCGTGCGTGCGTGCGTGCGTGCCGTTCCTAGCCTGCATCGAGCAAGCGATCTAAAATGCAGATTTGTGAGTTGATTAGTGGGAAAGGACGCGCACTAACGGCATATATGGGATTATCTTCTGCTGCGTCGTTCTAAAGAAAGACAGTGTCAACGTGTCTTGTCTCGGCTTTCTTTATGTTTTTCTATTTGTAGCTGACACTGAATCACTCACTCATCAGTGATAATGTTCTCGATTGGTTGAGATAGCTGACCACTTATGATCAGCGATGTGATGTAGTTGCGCAAGTAAATGACAAGAGGTTTTACAGGAACTGCCTCTGCTCGAATTTTTTTCTGCATGTTTTCTTTTTTCATGAAATTGATGATTAGTTCCTTCTTGACGTTGAATGGAAAGTCTGCTCTTCGGTAGTGCTTGTGCTAAACTTGCTGCGCTAGTAACAGGATCTGCATCTGTTCGAAGTGAACTGTGTGTTTTTCTTCATTAGATTTGTAGTATCTAAGTAGTATCAAATCTGAAAAATCGACATCACTTGCGGCGGCTTTGCAAGGTGTTTGGTGTTGACTGAACTTTGAGAGGCTATGGTGGAAGTCGCACTACTATTCTACACTTTTACAGGGCAGAGAAATCGAAATCTAATCCATTTTGGCCGAGCCGCAAGCAGACGCCGCTATTACTGTCGTGATAGGCATCGCATCAAATATCCTGCAAAGATTTGCGCCCGTGAAACGAACGGATATTACTGGCTTGACGTGGCTAATTGAATCCAGGTCGGATGCTCGCTATCCGCGGTATGAACAAACCGTAAAGGTAAGAGAGCTCACGGGATAAAAGGCCAAAAGGGAAGCTAGCAAAAGTCCAAAAGCAACAAGTGATATTCTGATGGTAAAGTGGAACAACATGGTTGATTTCTTTCGTTTTCGAAATCGACTTGTTTGGATAGAAGCAGAGTAATAATTGTGAAAAATATAGCATTTGATTCAAAGAACCGTTGCGACCTTGTTTTTCTCTGTTAGCTGATCCCTACTTTGGCTGCTTCCACTAATATGGCATAGACGATAGAAAACAATTTACACCATTATAAATTTGAGAAGTGCTGGACATTGCAGACCATTTTGATTTGAAGCTCTACTAAAATGTTAGTAATGCTAAATCATAGACAAATTTTTGATACCACTAAAATATTGATAAAGTAGATTATACCTCAATGCAATAGATTTTACTAAGGCTGGTTTCAATCTTAATGGCTACAAAGTGCTATTCAATGATACAAAATAATTGGTAAAGCAAGAATTGACGTTAAGCCAAAATGGCTCTGTAAAACAGGCAAAAGCAGTCGCGGGTGACAAATTTTAGTCAGAGATCAATTCTCTTGTTAACAATTTTCGTTGCTTTCCGAATGACACAGTAAAACGAGCTCATATAGTACATTCACAGTAAGTATCCATCCTTATTTTTTTCCCTCTGTTACTAAGGTCAGGGATTTGCTATGAATTCTGTCTCTTTGCACGTTGGTTAGAAAACATATTTTCAGCTGTATGTGGGATACATATACGCAGATACAGTGTGCAAGCGTATGCTTCATTCTGTGTAATTGGAAAAGGAAAATCACACTGCGGCATGCGTGAACATGGTCCTGTCAAACCGGTGAGGCACAACCACAACCTAAACAAGCTGGTGCGTCCGGAGAAGAAATTTTTAGCCAGCAAGTTCCACGTTGTTTGAAAAAGATGCCTAAGCTTGCGCCCATGCCAGTAGTATTTCTTTACCCCACCCGATATTATTTCGTTCTTGGAGCCGCGCATATATTTATCTGCAACATGCGCACGTCCACGTAACCAACCAACAACCAGTGCGAGCGCGTGTGTGTCTCGCATTGGTTCCCTCGCTGACAGCGCACTGCAGTGTACTACGTGCTCCCGACCGGTCCATGGATGGGGATGCAGTTGTTGCAGCGTGAGCCGGGAGGCAGGTGAGGTGAAGCCTCCCCCGGTCGCCACGCCACCAACAGACGCGGTAGCGCCACCCCACGCGACGCGAGCGATTCATCAGAATCAGATGAGATCGAGCCACGAAACTGCCCCCCGTGTGTGTGGGGGCGCGCGTGACACGGCCGATCGATGGGCCTGAATCCTGGTGGTGACGCAGCGCGTCATGGTGCCGCGGATGCGTTGGCGTTGGCCCCGCACCCGCTGCTGCTGCGGTGCGTGCGGCCGAATCTCTGGGTAGCGACCGCTCCCTCCCCCGCTAGCGGCTTCTCACACTCGTGTGCCCGCTGTAACGCAACGACCGGAGGGCACGGGGCCGAGTGCCACCTTCCCCGAAGGCCACTTCCCGTGATGTGGACCTGACCTGGTCACCTTGGGCTTTCCTTCTTCCTACTGATCTGAGTTTTTTTGAAGATAACATGAACAACTTTATTCAAAAAGACAGAATTTAGGGGATATACCCCAATACATCACATAAAGATACAACTTAAGCCAAGAAACCATTTTTAACAAGGTAGAGAGTAACCACTCTAAAAAAGCAAACTTTCTGATGAAACAAAACAACAGTAGGAAATCAGATCAACAGAGTTTTGCAGCAAAGCCACGACGATTGAATCCTTTGGCCTCCATTGACATGCACACCGCTTGACAGACTGGAAGGCTCCTACAGCTGTCACCACGGAAACGGCACAGATCGGAGGTTTGTTTCTGAGCCGTAGATTTTGGTGTAGGTATCACCGGACTCAGCAGGTTGGTTCCATGGAGTCTTTCATTAGATCTGAGGAGCAGAGATTGCTCAACCCGAATGATAGACCCTGTATGGATACTGTTGTTTTGAAGCAAAAGGAAGCAAGATTCGGTAGAACAGGTAGTCCACATGACGAGAAATCATATGGTTGATAAAACTTCTGTCTTTGTAGAAGGCCGAGGATTGCTGCAGGATTGTAGAACTGAAGCGGACCACAACAAATGAAAAGGAGCAAGCTCCCAACGAAGAAGTAACCTTCAGATTGGAGAAATAAGATGCCATACCCACACAATGTTTTCACCGTTGTAGAAAAGCAGCAGCTCAAGATATCACCGGCGCACGGAGCAGTAGTACGAAGAGCTCCAAGGCTATCACAAGAAGCAACAACACCTGGAGTTTGAAGACTACCACACAGAGCAACAACACTTGGGCTGCCAAGGTTGTCGCTCGGAGCAACATCGCCAGAAATTTCAAGGCCGTTGCCACCACACAGAGCACCGGCACCCAGAGATCCAGGGCCGCCGCCGCCGCTGTACGAAGCAGCGCCACCTGGAGATCCAAGGCAACCGCCGTCTGCACACGGCGCAGACCAATGAGTTCGGCACCAGCATAAGAAGAAGATTCTGTCCTTCAAGTCGCAGCTCCAACTCCGGTAATCATCACCACCAGCAATCAGAGCTCTTCGCTTGAACGTAACCAAACGGGACATAGCCACAGAAACAGGAAAAACCTGACAAAGAAACTACAACCTAGCTACACTATACTAATAGGGGAGGTGGCCGGACCCCTCCTCCAACCATCATCGGCGGCGAACCACCGGAATTTGGGGGGAAGAGGGGCTGGAGAAGAAGAAGGAGCTACTGTAGCAAAGGGGAAAGTTGGGAGGAGAGGAGGTGGGGAAAGTTGACCATCCAACCCCTGCTGATCTGAGTTGCCGAGGACAGTGAGGACTGAGGAGTGGCCTTCTTTTGAGTTTTAACAGTCGGAGCTGCACCGTACTACGGTAATGTACAAGTACACGGGGTAGAAGCGACTAGTGAGCAGTACAACCATCAGAAAATGTCTCCGTTCAACCGTGGTGAAAGTCGTCGGGTGAGCCTTAATCTACCGCTTTCACCGTTACACTTACTAAGTGCGTTCACTGATCAGAGTGGACGTACACCGTGACCGGCTGGCCAGTCTGTGCAATACACGCTGCGTTGCACTTCGATCCGCTGTTAGCCTGTTATTAAGGCTGTTACTACCGTTAGTAGTAAAACTTGTTGACTGATGGTACTATGCTTTTTTGTCCGGCCTGTCTTAATTACCCAGGCCTTCTCTGAAACTTGACGATTTCTCGGCCCAGACTGACAGCAATGGTCAAAGTAGGACGACGTGGACGTAATGGTCGCTACGGAGTGATTAATTTGGAGGTAGACTAGCCAGAGAGCTCTCCGCGCCGGTTGCTCCGCCCCGGCTCGCCTATAAATTCCACCCGCGCGCCACGGTCGAACACTCCAGCCAGCGAGCGATCCACCTCGATCTCTTCTCTTCCTCTCTCTCTCTCTCTCTCTCTCTCTCTCTCTCTCTCCTGAGCGCCAATCGATCTCGTGATCTAGAGCTCGCTTCCTCGACTTCGTGTCAAACACCGGGAGGAGCGGAGGCCGATCGGAGCCTAAGCGGGGCTCGCGCCAGGAGCTGGCTAACCACAGGCAGGGAACGGCGGCGGCGGCGCGCGAGGCGTCGGCGTCGGTGTCGGAGCTGGCAGAGCTGGACGGCGCAAGGGATCAGCCGGAGGAGCAGGACGCCAAGTTCCTGGTGCTGCGGCTGTACGAGGCGCTCAACTCCGGGGACGCGCGCAGGGCGCAGGAGCTGCTCGCGCCGGACCTCGAGTGGTGGTTCCATGGGCCGCCGGCGCACCAGCACATGATGCGCCTCCTCACCGGCGCCGACCACGGCGAGTCAAGGTTCCTCTTCTCCCCTCGCTCCGTCGACGCCTTCGGCTCCACCGTCATCGCCGAGGGCACCGACGACACCCGCCAGCTCTACTGGGTGCACGCCTGGACCGTCGGCCCCGATGGGGTAATCACCCAGCTCAGGGAGTACTTCAACACCGACCTCACCGTCACCCGCCTCTCCGCCTCCGCCGCCAAGACCACCGCCGCCATTTCTTCCTCCAACTCCAACCACGCCTCCTCTTCGGCGCCGCCGCCGCCGCCGTCCAAGCCCAAGTGCCTGTGGCAGAGCCGCCGCGCCGACCGCGCGCACAAGTCGCTGCCGGGCCTCGTCCTCGCCATCTAAGAACGAACTCAAAAGACATCAAGAACTCAAGGCGCAAAAAGCTTCCCTAAATTAATCACATATAAAAAAAATCAAGCGATACTTATCAATAGTGATTAGCTAAATAAATAAAAACGGAAGCGCACGCACTGAGTGAAGTCACTAGCTATAGTTTATTGCTTATGGGCTAAAGCCGCTCAGCTCAACTGAGCTGCTTCAGGTTTGCGTGATTAATCCCACTACCACTACTGCAACTAGCCAGCCAGTTAAGTAGTGTTGCTTTTGCTTGCTTGTCTGAAAGCTGAATCAGCAGTGTGACCAGTAGCATCAGTAGCTTTGGTCCAAGTCATTATGGATTATGTAAGTGTGTACTCCTTCCACGGTAAAGCTAAACCGTGGCTGAATATGAATGATGGTCTGTTGTTGTTGCATAAAAGTACTCGTAGCTTGTTTTGTTGGACACTTAAAATCAACATATGTGATGTACAGGTACTTCTTTTCTCTTCTTTCCCCCCATTTTCATTCCTTCTTGGGTTCCAAATGAACCGAGCAATGAACTCTGCTTATTTTAATCTGGCCATGAACTGAATAATTAACTCCTACGAAGTTTGAGCAAGGAACACATCTGCTTGCGTGAAGAAAGGGGATGGACTAATTCGCCCCACACTTATGGAAGTCACGAGCTGAACGGCACCTCCCTGATCAATGAATGCATGGTTGATGGTTTGGATTTCGGAAAACCACAACGAAATCAAAGTTTTGTTTGGATAAGCTGTGAGGATAAGTTGTCCAGCTGCTCTGGAGAACCCCTAATCCGAGGAGAAAAATCTACAAAATCCAAGGGGGACAGGTTCAGGATGTTGCTTTCCAACAAGGCTATGATAGCCTCCTCTTTGATGTGAAGTTCCTACGGATTCCCGGTAGATCCGGAAGAAAAATTAAACAGCGAGTTCGGAATTTCTTTGCTCTCAAGCGATGTCATTTCCTTTTCTTCTTTTTTTTTTTAGAGAAGTAAGCGATGTCATTTCTTTGCTCTCTAGCCTTTGTTCTGTTCTCTCTTTTCCTCACGATCTGTCGCTGTCCCAATTATATTTGTGGCGTAAATAAAAAGGAATTCCACTGATATGTCAACCGAAATCCAGCCGGCCACATGTTTGCATTCTCATTTTATAAGCTTAAATCTGACTTAGCTGTAAAATGGTATTCCTCCGTTAGAAAAAAATAAATTTCACAAAACTAAGTATTTTGCACAATCTATTACTTTTAGCATGAAGTGATGGAATACTAAGATCACTGGTAAAATTTACTAAAAAAAAACGTTACACATCTAGCGTTTGGAATTTGTCTAACAAGGGTCCCTTAGAACACTAAGATCAATTTATAAGGGTGCTAATCTACCCACTTCATGGCTAGAAGTACACAGGTTTTGGACGAATGGAGTACGTGTAGCCGTGTAGGACTCTAAACTTGTCCGGTTTGCCCTTAATAACCATTATACTCCGTATTTCTGGCAGGCTTAGGCTTCACCGGTCACCACAAGAGCCATAAAAATCGTGAACTCCGTCAGAAAGTGCATGCGGCTTCTAGAATTTCTTAGAAAAGGCTTAACTGCTTTAAGCATTTCACAAGGAAAAAAAAACGGTGATGACATCCTCTTCAGTAGCTTCTCTGATTGCTGCACCCTTTTGCGTGCGTGCCACGTGACATGGAGTATCTGGGACGGAGCAGATCAGCAGAAACTGACACGATGGTTAATTTCCTCGCCACGAGATAGACGTGTTTACAGTGTACTATTCACTACTCTCGATTCTCGGCATGAAACATGTGCGGTGAATTTACGGTTTACGGAGCCCTCCAGCTTTGAACGTTACAGGTGCCAATAAAACTTTATCGGCTCGACTAACAGCATCAGTCTGTAATCGTGCACGTACGTATTAGACTAGAGCAATGCTCCGGTGCTTTCTACTTGTAGTATTATACTACAAGTAAAATTAATCCCGACCGTTCATTTTAAAGGGTAGATTAGTAATCTCCTAATATATATTAGGAGTAATTTTGGCCGGATCAATTTTCTCTGTCTCGGTCGGTCTTGGCTTGATCGCGTCAGGTCCGACGCAAGCACAACATCTCGCCCGACGCACGTTGCTTATCACTACTCCTCCCAGCACGCGGCGGCGCGGCGCGGCGCGGCGCGGCGAAACCCTCAGGCGTCCCCTCCTCCCACCTCTCACCTGTCTATCCGTTCCCCCTCCTCTCCTGTATTCCACGCCGGCATCCTGGTTCGCCGTCGTGGCCTTCTGTCCGCTGCGAGTGGCCTTCCGCGCGCGTCCGATTCCACCGGAGCCCCTGTGCAAGACCTGAGATTCTTGGCAGTGCCCACTTTGGAGGATTCAATCCATTCCGCCGGCGGGTAGTGATCTCCATTCCGTGTTGCCCCGATTGTGTGGGCTGCGGCCACTTGGGAGGCAACTGCGATACATTCCGGCTCCCCGGTTCCCCTCCGTGCGTGCCCGAGTCTTGTGGCTTGCATGGCGAGCACCTCCTCGACCGCGAGCAAGGCATGAGATTCAGAATATGCAACAGTGTCGCTCGCTGCGTGCTGCCGTGGAAGGCGTCGCCGGCGAACCTGATAGACCGCAATGCTCAGAGGTTTCAGCACATCCGTGCTCTCAGCGGCGTCAGGACACTGGATCGGGCGCTGAACGATGCATGCGGCATACCCGATCTGCTAGCTCAGGATGGTGGCCGGCGATGATGTCCGCACGCTCTCCTGCGGGCATGACTTCCACGAGGATTGCAACACTGCAAAGTGGTTCAGTGACAACAAGAAGGCCTGCCCAGTTCATTCTGCTTGTAATATTCAGTTGTATGGTGTTATGTGTCGAATACTTCATTGACTAATTGACGAGGTTTGAGATATTGATGTTTATTGGATCTTGTGACTGTCCCAATATATTCATTGTTCAGTAATGGTTCAAGTAAAAAAGAAAAGGTGAATAGTGAGGGACTACTAGTAATGTCAATGTGTTGACCATGTCAGTGTGTTGTGCATTTTTTTGTGTGCAACTGTGATGGGGTGAGAAGAGTCCAGGCAATTTGAACTGAAATATGCCATCCTGCTCCTGGATCAGTAAACAAGTTGTTTTGCTCCTGAAAAAGTGAGACTGAAAAAAATCTGATAAACTGCTTAAATGAGATTTTTCACTATCAGAGTTTTGCCCATATGTAAATTGCATTTCAGTCAGAGCTGTAATTCAGGATTTGTTTTATATTTCATACCATTGAAACATCTAATTGCATTCTGTCATATTCTGGTGCTCTGAATCATCGCTACATGATTCCTTTCTTTTGCTCATATGGGGGTAGCTAAGCGCTCAATTGCCACTAGATTGAATTTTTTTTTCAAGTCATAGGACAATGTCTACTAATGGGGGCTTAGAACATATTGATTCACTCTTTGCTGCAAACTCCCTGGTCTACTGTCGTGTTTATGCAAAAGCATTTGCATTAGCTCCGCGGCAGCTAGTGAAGTCATGCACAGTCCCTATTCATGTAGCATCCAAACGCCTCATTCCCAAGTCCCTTAGCCGCTCGTACGGTCGCCGGCGGCGACCAAATGCCACCGCCTCACTCGAGCTCCGCCACCGCACATCGCCGGCTGCCGTAGCTCATTTCTTAGACAATCCGAGCCGTCCACCACATCCCCATACTACACTCGTTCATTCACAGTTGCCCATTCCTCCTACCTCGCAGCCGTTCGCCGGAACCCGTCGAACGTCGTCCGCTGTCCAATTGCCCGGCTATCTCCTCTGTCTTGGTCAAAGCTACATGGCAGGACTAGTCGTCCGCCGTGGGCAAGGACCTTCAGCGGCTCGGCGAAGAGGAGAAGGGCCACCCTTGGTCGCTAGAGAGGGAGGAGATGTCGATCGCGCTGGAGATGATGGAGGCGGAGAGGGAGATGCACAGGCGACGAAGTCGACGATGGATGGGGTCAGGCGCTTGAGAAGGGCGAAGGTGTAGAGTTACTGAATAATAATTTACAATAATACCCTTACGTGAATTATTATCTATGAACAAATATACCCCTCCATGTTTCTACTACCACTAAGCGTGGTGGTAGTAGAACTAGATCTCAACCTGACGATTATATACGATCAACGGCTCGGATTATTTTCTACTACAAGTAGAAAGCACCGGAGTGAGGCTCATTAGACTATTAGCAGGCAGAAAAATGTTGTTGCATATGCAAGCATTGAGTACTTACTACTCCTTTTACCTCCGTTTTATAATGTAAGTCATTCTAACATTTCTCATATTTAAATTGACGTTAACGAATCTAAACATATATATCTATATAGATTCATTAATATCAATATCAATATGGTAATTGTTAGAATGACTTATATTATAAAATGGAGGAAGTATTAAAAAACAGTCTCTGAACAGTGGAAGGCAAAATAGTCATTCAACACTCATTTAAGAGTTACTGAGACGTACTCAAATGTTACTTGTGCTAAGATACAGTACCTTCTGGTACGTACTTTGACACTACAAGGAGTGCATAAGAGAAGGGCCTGGGGTCTTTACGGCTAGCAACACAAACTACGAGCTAGCTGGTACGGGTTCAAGCCTCACTCCCTTAGTTTAAAAATCAATATAGTCCTTTCTAGATTAATCCCATTTTTCAAAAGGAGTGCATAAACCTATCGATTTTTATTAAAAAAACACTGTAAGGAAATCTATCACGAAAATTGAAAAGTATTCATGTGCGGCGAACGGGACCCTATCCCCCGAAAATGCAAGCTTAGTGCATTTGGAGTTTCCTCTTTTTAAAGGAAAAGGGCAGGATTTCCCTAAGAAATTCTACAAGTTGCAACCTCTTACGATGAGTGCAAGATTTTGGTGGTTTCCCCCTAGATCTCCCTCAAGCAAGGATCGTTTCCCACATGAGCGGAGCTAGATAGGAGGAGGGTTGCCTAGGAACCCGATCAAAAAAATTTTTAACTATAGTTTAGCTATTTTCACATATATACACCACTCGATCTAAATTCAGACACTCATATTAGTCTAAATTTAATCTAAAATAAAGTAAAGCAAGCGAGTGACCCCCCTCTCTAGTATGTTCTAGCTGCACCCTGATTTCCCAAGTAACGATTTAGGCTTCGTTCGTTCCTGGGCGATCCAGGGGATTGAGAGAGAAAAGTATCTCATTTTCCGCGCGCACGCTTCCTAAACTAATAAACGGTGCGTTTTTTTTAAAAAAAAATTCTATAGGAAAGTTGCTTTAAAAAATCATATTAATCCATTTTTAAAGTTTAAAATAGTTAATACTCAATTGATCATGTGCTAATGGCTCATCTCGTTTTGCGTATCTTCCCAATCTCCACAATCCTCTTCTTCTCAAACACACCCTTAGCTGATGATTGCTACCATCATTCGTCGTGAGCGCCAAAAG